AATTTCCCACTTGTTTTATAAAGAATTAGAAATTAAAAAGATTTATTTTCAGGAAAATTCAAAAAAGAATTTTTTTTAATTTACATTCTCAAAGTTTTTCCGTAAATAATTAAAACAAGATCATTGTATGGAAATCATTTAAACTCCTAGGAAAAAAAATTACTCAATTTTTTTTTTCGAAATTTTCTAAATTACAAGGAAATTCGAACTGAATGAAAATTGCATCATTTGCTCCATTCACACGAGCGATTGTCCCTGAACTATTCAACCATTCATTCAATTCAACGAGGATATCACAGACAGAATGGAGTGAGAATTCAATCAATCGTTATACGCCGAAAAATCAATGAAATTTCTATTCCCATGAAAATTAAATTCCGCCATTGGAAAATTGTAAAAAAAAATCCGAGGTTTGGGGATATTGGGCCCTCGATGAAGCATTGAAAATCGATTGAAAATTAAATTCCCATTTTCCGAGTTCAAGAACGAATAGTTTCATGAGAAAAATCTTCAATGAAAGCATCACAAAAAGGGAAATAAAAATAAGAATGAAAATGTAATCAATTTTGATGGAAAATTCATCAAAACGTCGGCGAATGCAATTTTTTGCGATGCAATTAAAAATGAATAAAGACCTGAGGGGAGAATGGAGAAAAAACAATCAATCAATTCCATTTTCAATCAAAAAAATAATTACAATCTGAAAAAGGAAACAATATTTTAAATAAAAACAGGTGGACGTGTGTTTTGAAACCGCTGAATGTCCCCGGGCGGTAAAAAAAAGAATTTAGAACAAAAGTATTTCTTTAAAAGCACTCAAATCCTAGAGTCAAAGAGCTGAAAAATCTGAACCGTTTGAGAGAAAAAGTGCATTTGTTAATGGGGCGATGGGGAAAAACTGTTGGATATTCTCTGTGGAGTGGAAAAATGTATTTTCCTTCAAAAAGTGTTTTCTGACATTTTCACATTTAGGAAAATGGAGAAAATTTCTCAGATATGCCCCTTCTGCGTTAAAATCAAGGGAAGAATCCTATTCCAAGCACATTTTTACTCCTTTAATTCTCATTTTCCAATTCAATTTCAAACTGAATGCAATGAAAAATCCAATCACTTCAATTACACAAAGCACACAAAAAAAATGCATTTGTTAATGAAACAAAATAAGATAAAAACTTGCCTATCATTTTGGAACGAGAAATTTCTCCGAGAATTCTAGAAGCTTCTGGAATTCCGATAGATGGCGCCACTATCGATAAGGAACCCTAAGGACTTTTTCCCTAAATACCCCCCACAATGAAAACAGACGTATCCACGTTAAAAAAATTCAATTCTCACCATTTATCTTCTGAATTAAAATCGCGAGGGAATTTCAATCCACAGGACACCTCAAACCTCAAAATTTCAATTTCAAATAAAACTCCGAGCACTTCAATCTCTCATCAGAAAGCCCTCCTTCAAAAAAAAATCATAAACTTCCCTCACCAAAAAACCTCTACCCCTCGCATTACCCAAGACCCAGAACAAAAGTCCAACCATTTCTCTGAAAGCATTTAAAACCCTAGAGCCGGAGAAATGATGATGGAGGTGAAAAAAAAAACACAAAAGGCAAAAGGATTATTGCACATTCGTGTGGATTTTAACCTGTGCTCAAGGGAGTGTTGTATCCGTCGCAGGGTATTCCGAATAGAGGGGCCGGGGGGGGGAGGGGAGGG